CTTAATTACAAATAAACAATAAACGTAACATTATGAATGCCTTTTAAGTCTAAACAGTCCAGAGTAGTTCAGCTGCAACTTTTAAGCTTCACAACGGTAAATTTCAAATCGTTATCCACACAAATAATACAGAGTATACAGTATAGTGTGCAGCTTCGCGCTAAACCAAACAAGCAAGCTTTTTATCAGTGATAATATTTCATTCTCAGATAGCTTTTTTTAACTTTGATACCGTTATAATCTATGGATGGAGATGCGAGTTTTCGACGATGTAATGTGATATTAAAACAGCATTGTAACGCACTAAAACAAAACACAGCTGCAATCAAGGTCGAACAAAAACCAATTTATTAAAGTATAATAACAACAGAAGTCCAAAATACAACTTTCAAATATCTGGAAGTTGATATTTTTCTTACCTAATTTTCGACAGATACTCACTTTTCACCCACTTAAGCTATCTTCCCTGTAGTCTGCCTTAGAGATTTGCATGCCACTAACGTTTAGGCAACTCCTATCTATTCTCATGATCTTTCTTGTGAATTGTGCTACTGCATGGGTTTATTGATGGCAAACCTTGCAGTATGCTGTTTGACATTGGTTGTACACCAACAACTGTTTGACTCAACTGGTTAATGAAAAGTGGGAAATTATATCCAAAGGTGAAGAAAGAAGAGGGATTGATGCAAACAGCAGACGGACATAAAGTTTCGGTAAAATTGAAGGTGGAAGTTACCCTTATCATAGGAAGTTTTTCTAAACTTCATGATATGTTGGTAATTGACATTGAAGAATAGTGTGTCTTGGGAACTGCCTTCTTTCCGAGACATGGATGTGAAGTTAAGCTACTCTTACGCCTCCGTTCGTTAGTTAATTTTCCGTAAAAATTCTTTCCGAAGAAACTTTAGCAATACAAGTCCTTTCTTAAATAAAACTGGTTTATTCTTTCTGAAAACAACTTTGCGATACACTTAATTTCCACAGTCGCGCTATAACAAACGCTATAATTCAGAACGAACGTCTCACGTGCTCAACTCAACAATACTCTGTCCGCTGTTCAATTACACATTGTTCCCGTCGCTTCTTGGCCGGGCCCGGCATGGCCAGGTGGATAAGGCACTCGACTCGCAATCTGATGGTCGCGGGTTCGATCCCCGTCCCACCAAACATGTTCGCCCTTTCAGCCGTGGGGGCGATATAATGTGACGGTCAATCCCACTATTCGTTGGTAAAAGAGTAGCCCAAGAGTTGGCGGTGGGTGGTGATGACTAGCTGCCTTCCCTCTAGTCTTACACTGCTAAATTAGGGACGGCTAGCGCAGATAGCCCTTGTGTAGCTTTGTGCGAAATTTGAAAACAAACAAACAAACAAACATTCTTGGCCGGTCTTATATATACAAGACTACCCCATATCTAGTAGTCTCCCAACGCTTCATAAACGTTCTAGAAGCGCGAGGCGTGTTACTAGGGTCACGTGACATCCGCTGTCGTAACACTACTTTCACATATCTTCAGAGTCAGTGACAATGAAATCTCACTGTATTATATGGCAATTATGGCACCAGAAGTTGAACTTCTAATGAAAACAGGGAAGGTGGCCAATGCATACCAAGAAGAGAAGTACTCATATCAATAGTTAATAGTAATAACTCTTCATTTTGTGACTGGGGCGTAGTGGAACCAAACACTTTGACATGTCCTGAGATACTGGTTGTTTGAAGAGCTTTCCTGGATATGAAGAATAAAGATGTCAGATACGACTTTACCCAGGAATGACTTAATTGGCTTGTGATGAACCTAAAGGTAGCTGTGTTGTAGATGTTGATAAGATTGGATTATGTCAAGATGACATGGTATGTCTAAACAGTTCTTTTCACAAGAGTGTAGAAACTCCAACGTTAAGTAATGTCTGAAAGATAGTTTATTCAAGCCAAAGGTCTTCCACCATTTTTGGAGGTGTATCAGTGAGATAACGGCCAATTGGGTAACCCCAGAGAAGGATATGTTACGCCTCCAGTCGTTAATTGATTTTCCGTAACTTCGTTCCGACTGAAATTTCAGCGACACAAGTCCTTACTTAATAAATCTGGTTTATTCTTTCTGAATATAACTTTACCGATACACTTATTTTCATCAGTCGCTCTATAACAAACGTTTTAACAACGAACGTTAACTTCAACAATATGTTACGTCTCCGTTTTTTTTAATTAACTTATTTTCCGTAACTTCGTACCGACGAAACTTACGCGACACAAGCCTTTACTTAATAAAACTGGTTTATTCTTTCCGAATATAACTTAACCGATACACTC